AATGGACACTTAGGTTATTTCCATTTCTGGCCATTGTGAATAATACTGCAATACACATAGTAGCACAAATGTCTCTTTGACATGCTGATTTCATTTCCTTTGGATATTTGCCCAGTAGTGGGATTGCTGGATCATATGTAGTAGTATTAATTTTTTGAGGACCCTTCATACTGTTTCCACAGTGAATGTACTAATATTTTCCCACCAACAGTGTGCAAGCATTCCTTTTCTCCATATCCTCGCCAGCAGTGTAATGCTTTTTGCTGTTTTTTTTCCCCCTCTCAAGATACTTTTGGCTATTTGTTGTAGTTGTTCCCTACAAATACTAGGATTTTATCTTCTGTTTCTGTGCCACTCATATTTTAGTAGGTATTTGCATTGAATGTATAGATCAATTTGAGTAGTATGGATGTTATAACAATATTCCAATCTCTGAGCATAGGATGTCTTTCCTGTGTGTGTGTGTGTGTGTGTGTGTGTGTATTCTCTTTGATTTCTTTTACAAATGTAATATTATTTTCATTATAGAGAAAATTTGCCTCTTCAGTTAAAATTTTCTTGGGTACTTTATTTTATATCTTCTTATAGCTATCATAAATAGGATTGATTTCCTGATTTCTAGTTTAGATAGTTCACTATTAAAATACTGTTTTTTTTTGTAAATTTATTTGTTCATTAAAGCTATGTTTATAAATTACTTGCCAAATCCCATAGTATATAAGACAGACACTATTTCTATAAACATAAGCATGAACATAACTCTATACACTTATTTTATGCTCTCAGATGTATTGGATTACAGACAGACTACCTCATGAATACAGATGACAAGAGCAGAAGGCTACAAATAGTTGAGTGTTGCTAGAGAATATAGTACAAGGCTGAGAAGAATAGATATCAAGTACCTTGTATGCTTTCTGAGGTTGTTTTTTTGTGCCCTAGAGACAGTGAATTCTTTTTAATTATGGCTACCTAAACCATGACATTTGGAATTTTTCAGTGAATCAGTTCATTTTTCTGTACCACTGAACTTATTTATTTATTTGTTTGTTTTTATTGCTGTTCTAGAGGTTGAACTCAGAGTCTCACACATGCTAAACAAGGGCTGTAGCCCAGCCCTACTGATCTTATCTATAAAGGTCATTGATCTCACTGAACATGATGGAGTGGCACATGCCTGTAATTCCAGATACTCAGAGGCTGAGGCATGAGGACCACAAGTTTGAGGCTGGCCTCAACAACTTATCAAGGCCCTAAGCAACTTAGTGACCCCGTTTCAAAATTTTAAAAAAGGGGCTAGGAATGTGGCTCAGTGGTTAAGAGCCTCTGGGTTCAATCCCCAGTACAACCCTCCCCCCAACACCCTGCAGAAAAAGTTCAGTGACTTTAATTATCCATACTCTTCCCTTGCTGAAAAAACTTAGCTTTTACTCTTCTGTCTCAGTTGAAAGGTTCTCCTAAAACTGAAATAATTTTCTTTCTATTGCTTTTTACTGTGTATTTGCAACTCTCATTAACAATGCCTCATGTCCACTCACATGGTGCCATCCCTTTTTACTGCTTTCCCTCATTTTATCCTTCATGTATTCCTTATGTCCTACTCTTAACTAGGTCATGTCTCATATGTTCCATGAACCTGTTTCCAAATAATTGTTCTTATATGTAGTTATTTTTAGTCCTAAACAATTAGCCCTTAATCATTCCTGTTTCATACATATTATACTGTAAGCTTCATGATAAAGAGAATACAGCATGTTATTGTAGGCTGAGGCACTCAACAAATATTTGTTTACCAGCTAAGAAATGTGTTTGGTATGCACAGTTCTTGAATTTTAATTAGTTTATGATATGTTTAATGTTGGAGTATCATGTCAGTTCCCAATTAATATTAGCATAATCATTTAATGAGGAAGTCATACAACTATTTTTATCTACATTGTTCTTGAGAGTGTGATAATAAGTTACTTTCTAAATATAGTTTTTTTTCTTATTCCTCCACAAATATAAAATATTTTAATGGACTACCCCATTTATCTTTTCTACAATGTTCAGTGTTGTGTGAGTGTAATGTTGTTGTCTAATTCACTAAAAAGCCTAAAACATCTTGTGCACCTTATAAATGCCATTTTTGTCCCCATAATACATAAAAATCACTTTTATTACCTTTAATGTGTAATCTTAATTTGAAATTGTTGTAGATTTCTTATCATTCTCTTTATTTGCAAAAGAGACATTTCTTCAAGTTTAAATTGTGTGTGTGTGTGTGTGTGTGTGTGTGTATATATATATATACACACACACATACATACAGATACGTGCCCAAGGAAGAAGTAGCTTTTGGTTAAGTCATAATCCTAATTCTAAAGGCACTCTCATCTTGTAATGAGTTGTAAAAATTTGACTCTTATCTTTTCAGACTTTCTGAAGATACCATCAGATACTGTTTGGTAGTTCTGTCTCTATCTGAATCATGATATTTTGAAAGTGAATGTCTTTTATAAACAGTGTATCATTATAAATGCTGCCAATAAATTTTTTTTGCCTTAATTCAAATTAGTAAGAATTTTCTGTGCTTACTCTGCATATTTTTAAAAAAATATTGTATTTACTGCTAACAATATAATTGAGGTTAATTTTTATCAAAAGTCAAGAAATTAAATTAGGTCAGTAAGATGGTTTTTGTCTGAAAGTATTATTGTTTTAAAAACACTAGACTCATAACAAACTACAGGATTCATGGAAAACCTGGTATTGTTGAAAAAATAGACACATAGATCAATGGAATCCAAACATAGGCTCAAATGTATATGGTCAAGTGATTTTTGAAAAAGGTGGAAAGGCTATCAGTGGAGAAATAATTGTTTTAACGATGGTATAGAACAATAGGACATCTATATTCAAAAAAAGATGAATAATGAAACTCAGCTCTCACCATATATATAAAAATTAAATATAAATAAATGGCCATCTGTTCTTGCCCTCTCTATTTAAAATTATATTAGTAGTTCCAGCAATTAGGCAACAAAAGTCATCCATACTAAAAAAGTAGAAGTAAAATTATTTTCTTCAAAGATGCCCTTATCTTTTTTTGCTTGTTTTTGGTGCTGGGAATTGAACCCAGGGCCTTGTATATGCTAGGCAGGTGCTCTATCACTGAGCTACGACTCCATAATCTTTTATGTAGAAAAATCTTATAGAATTCTCAAGAAAATGTAGAATAAAGCAGTAGAATATAAGATCAGGGTACAAAAGTCACCTGTACTTCTTTACCCTTGCAGTAAACAATATGAAATGTGGGCTGGGAATATAGCTCAGTTGGTTGAGTGCTTGCCACACGTGCACAATGCTCTGGGTTCAATCCCCAGCATCACAACAAACACATAACAACAACAGCAACAACAAAAAAAGTATGAAATGTGAAATTAAGAAAACAATTCCATTTATAAATTTCATTGAGAAATCTAAAACACAGTAGTAAATTAAAGAGATATAAGCCGGGTGAAGTGGTTAGTGCTTATCATCTGAGCTACTTGGTAGCTACTTGAGGAGCATTGCTTGAGTCAGGAGTTCAGAGCTACCCTGGGCAACAGAGACTTTGTCTCTTAAAAAATAAAAAAGAGGAAGAGGAAGAAGAAGAAGAAGAAGAAATGATAATATAATATGAGATTCATGACCTGAAAAGTACAGAATAATTTTGAAGGAAATTGTAGAATACATGAGCAAATGGGAAGGTGTCCCAAGTTCTTGGGTTACAAGACTTAATATTTTTAAGATTGCAATAGTCACTTCTTGGTGTGCTAAGGTGATCCATTCCAGAACTAAAGTGTTTACCAAACTCCGTGGTGCCCCAGTCCTATATATAAAATAGTATAATGTTGCATATAATCTTTGCATAGCTTCCAAAATACTGTAAATCATCCTTAGGTTTCTAAGAAGACCTAATACAAAGTCAATGCTAGGTAAATAGTTATACGTTATTATTTAGGTAATAAGGATGAGAAAAAAAATGGCTCTAGATGTTTGGTATTGATGTAACCATTGTAGACCTAACTTCATAGTGCAGGAACAAGATCTATGCCTAACAGTACTCAAATAATACTGAAGAGAAACTGAGGATCTCTAAAATTGTGGGTAGCTACAGCAGAATATACCCACACATTACTTCATTTACATGGATTCAGAGTAACCCTCAGTGCCTGGCAAATTCAAATTATGCTTTGGGAACTTCTTAGAATTTTTTCCCCAAATATTTTGAACAGTGGTTGAATCCATGGATGTGGAACCTGTGGAAAAGAGAACTGACCATACTCCTGAAATTGATCTACAGATTAAATAGAAAACTCAAGTGGCCCCCATATTTTTTTCAGAAATTAATCAAGTATAGGAGAAAGCAGCAGATTTTGTTGAATTCAATGATCCATTGAAGATGGGCCACAAGCCAGAAGTGGTAGTGCATTCCTATAATCCTAGCAACTTGGTAGGCTGAAGCAGGAGAATCACTAGTTTGAGGCTAGCCTCAACAACTTAGGAAGACCCTTCATTAAAATAAAAAATTAAAAAATGCCGGAAACATAGCTCAGTGGTAGAGGGCCCCTAAGTTAAATCTCTGGCACCTCCCCATCCCCCCAAAAAGATGGGTCTCAAACTACTATGTCTTTCTTTATAAAGTAATTCAACCCCATACCCTATTACCAAAATCTCTGTAATTAAGTCTCATTTCTCACTAGAGTACTTTGAATTTTTCCCATCTATATAACTTTTTAAAAAGCATCTTTATTTCTATTTATGTGGTGCTGAGGATCAAACCCAGTGCCTTACACATGTGAGAAGAGCACTCCACCACTGAACCACATCCCCAGCCTCCATCTATATAACTTTAAATCTCCTGGAATCAATTCTACCTTTGATGCCTTTCTGAAAGGATTGATGGAGTCAATGAAAACCCTGTCAGAGGTAGGGAAGCTTCCATTGGTGATGCTTTTCTGTTTTTCTCTTTGTAGGAAAACTGAACAGCCAAGACTCTTACAACAACTTTACCAACAATAATCCTGGAAACCCCCGGCTCTCTCCTCTCCCCAGCTTGATGGTAGTGATGCCTCTTGCTCAAATCAAGCAGCCAATGACATTGGGGACCATCACCAAACGAACAGGGTAAGGCCTCAGGCTCAATGTTTTTTCACAGCTGTTTAATAGGGTTGAATGAATAAAAATAAAACATAACTTTTTCTTTGTGTGGTTTTGATTATGTTCTTCATTTCCAGCCCATATGAGCCTTAATGGCAGCAGATTAAGTACAAAGTATAGAATGTGCGCAAACATACTTGCACACATCCGTGTACATACACATCCACAGAAAAAGCAAGGCAGTGACAAGTTGTGAAAACTAGGATTGGCTAATAAAAAACAGGCCCACCACTCAGTCCTGTACTCGCTGCTTCATGGCATTGCCTGATAGCACAGTTTGATTTTCATGACTTTTACAGACATGATTGGCATGTAAAATGACTCCAAATTTTGACAGACATAAATAATGAGAGACAATCATGTTTCTAATGCATTTTGAATACCATCTGTACTGAGGTTTAATTTACATATAATAAGCCTTCATTTGTGTCAGGACAATGTGATGTTACAGGTAGTTTTCTAAAATTTGGACTTTTTTTCAAAACTGATTCTTGAACATCCTTAAAGACTTTTGATGACTCGCTCGATTTCTTTGTGCTTATTTTAACTATTTAAAAAAACTTTGTCCCTGTTAGGAATATATAATTATTGCTTCTTTGCACTTCTGGAAATAAACTATGAAGTCTATGATATCATTAGATATTATGTGATAACAGAAATTCATTTTGTTGTTTAAAAATATATTTGCTATAGTCAAATTACTTGTTTTTCTCAATGAGCAATCCTAAAATTTAACCTGATTTGAAATGGAATAAATTCTATATTAAAATTCTTTATTAAAACTGCCAGGAGAAACCCTGTCTGGATCTCAAATGGTCCTTAGGGTCTTCCCAATGAAAATAACAGATTAAATTATTTGTGTGGCAGGTCAATATCTTTTGATATTATTATGCTAGTGTTGTTGTTTATAGAAGTCACTTTCATGACAAGACGTACTCGAGGCTCTCAGGAATGGGTCCTTGGAACTTCCAGTATCACCAAGGACCCTCAACCTGGGTATAGTGATGTCTATATATTAAGTGATCCTATTGCTATATGGAGAAATAAAATTGAATTTGTGACTAATTAAGGGAAACAATAGGAAAAAGATAGAAAATGTATATCCCAAATCACATTTTATGGTACAGATCATTTGGCCTGTCTTTTAATTCAACTCTTTTTGTTCAATAGAAGTGTGATTTAAAATAGAATTTTGATTTTTCTTCTATTAATTTCTTGATTTTAAAACAAGTTAATAATAGTGGCATAAAGAGTGAATGGGTTATGTCCTTACATTTGCAATTAGTTTGTTTTTTCATTTTATGACATTGTGTTCCCTGGATATAGAACTAAACAAAAACAGGACTAAGTTTTAAAACAGGACTAAGTTTTTAAACAGAACTTTAAAGTTGTTTTTCATTTGCTGAAGTTAGTTTATAACTCTATCTTCTAGATTTACCTCAGCATTGTACAGTTCTTCAAATTTCTTACAAATTTTGTCTGTCTTTCCTGAATCCAAGTGAAAGCATCTTCAGACTTGTTCCTTGTAAATTAATTTTACATCCATAGTGAGGTGAACATAAGAACCTGGTTCAGAAGTTCCTGGTAGACATGAGAACATATTCTGGTGTTTTGTTTCTCATGTGTGTGTTTGTTGTTGTTTCTAACATAAGAACTAATGCTGCCTTATAATGCAAAGAATAAGCTGTCTTTAATAAGGCTTTCTAAAATTACTCTGAGACTATGACTAAAGTTTTATTGATAAAATAATATGATGTTAAAATTTAAAAATATTTGTGGGCAGAGTTGGGAAATAAGTCTACTCTTGCTTATATTTGAAATTTTCTAGAATACAAAGATAAAGTCTGTCACTCTTTTACTCTTTGTCTTTCTACCCTCTTTTCACTAAGATGGAGAGAACCTTTATCATCTGGTGTCCTGCTGTGCGGCCATAATTCATCAGCATAGATAAATTCTTTGTTTCTTTTTCTTTGTTAAAAACCTGCTCAGAATTCTCATATTTTTGGAGCATACCTAATGTGTTCCCTCATATCATGTATAAATTAATAATTATTAATGAAGCATTATTAATTTATTTTCTGTGTTTTGAAATTAACATAAAGTATACAATACTTGTAACATATTGTTGATTAGGCTTTGTATCTCTATTTTCAAGTCATTTGATTTCTGTTAAGTTTTAAGTTGTTTAGAAAGAAAATTCGTACCTGTCCCAAATGAGGACTTGACTTTAATTTTTCAGACTTAGTATATACTTACAGAAACATTGTAAGAATAGTAAAAAGATTTCTGTATATCCAAATTTCCCAGATCTTAAAGTTTTAAGGTCTTTTAGTATTCACATTCTCTCACTCTGCATAGACAAGGACACACGAGTTGCAGACTCAGCACCCCCTTATTCCTACATCCTCCATGCACAGTATCTGAAGGCAAGGATAATCTTTCACATAACCATGTTATAATTACCAAAATAAGAGATTTTACAATGAATTTTGTTAGTTGGGTTTTAAAAAATTCCATATTCTCTTGTCATGAATTCTCTAATTATGACAAACTTTAGAGTACCACAAATTACTCAACCTACTATTCTTTTTTCCTCTTCCTTTAGTACAGAGTACAGTGACTAATAAGTGTGCTGATGACAGTGATTGTAATTTGCATTTGACCAATTCTGGATCACAGGACTTAATACACTTATGAAAGTGTTTGCTGATTATAATCAGAAATTGCTATTGTGACTTTATCATTATTTTATTATAGGTCACCTAAACCTTGGCTCATAGTTTTCAGATATAATTTTTGGTTTCATCATCTTAAAATTCAACATTTTTCTCATTAAAATACACATATTTTGCCTTATCAAAATTAAGATTTGATTTGTGTGAAAAAATATATTCTGTTTCCAATTTTGCCATATGCTGAGTTTTGAAGCAAATCCTAGATGATATTTTATCCTTTTTGATTTCATCCAATTAGAATTTAAGCATACTTTCTTAAACATTTATTTAAAACATTTAAAAAACTGACCAATTCTCAACACTGCAGTTAGCTAATTCGTGCTCATTTTTTCCACTACATTTTGTTTTATGTACTGAGACATTCAGTTTTCTTATTAAGGTGATGAGCAAATAAAGTTTTTAGTTTCCAGGTCTCCCTTCAGTTTGGAAATTTTGGTTTCATGGACCTCCTTTTCTAATTTTTTTTTTTTAAATAAAAAGAAGCATTCATATGGATAATGTAGAAAAAGGATCCAGAATCCACCCATTACAGATGTGTAACTTCTGTCTACCTCTAATATGCCTAATAATATACCTTAAAAAATTATATACTTACTGAGGTTAGCTCAGCTTCCACTTGTCCTAGATATTTTGCATAAAGATGTAAAATAACAACAAAACATTATATTTTTATGGCAGAAATTTCCAAGGATTGCCTAGGATCCAATATTTAAATATCCAAATTGAGATAGAAGCCCCAACTTAAACCTTCAGGGGACAAAATGTGTGTTTACCATATTTAACATCTGCCCTCTTATTTTTACAAATACATATCCCTGTGCAGTGTCAAGGACCATCTGTCTCACTCCAAGACATTCATGAGGTCAGTAAAACTACAAATGGCAAAAGACAGATGTATTTACACCTTCTTGTTCAGTACCTCGAAGCAGCTCTTGGAGGAAAAAAGGCCTGTGTTGGCAACAGCTGCTACTGACCTCTGAGGATGTATGTGGATGAAGGCAAAGGAAGTGCTAGAAATTATTTGGCTTCAACAATCACCCATTCAAACAGAATCCATTTTCTGTCAGTCTAAGACTGGAGTATTGGAAAGTCCTGCTTTCCACACCATCATGTTTATATCATATAAAATCAAGAATTATTTAATTATTTAATCTCCTTGCTTATTTAAAGTAACATTAGCCAGGCACTGTGGCGCGCGATTGTAATCCCAGTGGTTTGGGAGGCTGAGGCAGGAGAAATGCAAGTTCAAAGCCAGCCTCAGCAATAGCAAGGCGCTAAGCAACTCAGTGGGACCCTGTCTCTAAATAAAATACAAAATAGGGTGGGGATGTGGCTCCATCGAGTGCCATTGAGTTTAATCCCTGGTACGAAAAATAAATAAATAGATAGATAAACACATAAATTAATAAAGTAACATTATATTAAGGGATTGTTCCAGTTCTTGGAAGTTAGGTTTTTGTGGTGGGAATTTATTATCAGTATTTCACAGATGTTTGGTTAAATTAATGAATCAAATTAGAATAATATTTTTAATATTGCTTTCTAAGTAATTACAGAACAAAAAATTTTTATCAGTATACGATTTTATCTGCTTTGAATCTTAAATTATTTAGGTATATACATTATTTTGTGGTAAAAGCAGAAAACAACAAATGTCAGAGATCAAACTAATTTCATGGGAATTAAAAAAATACAAAAATTAAGAATTAAAGTTATATCTTTGCTCTAAACTAGTAGAAAGTGGACATAACATAATTTATTCTCTCATAGTTTACTTTTTCTTAAATGAAAGTAGCTTCCTACTTTCTTCCTCTCTCTCCACTTTTTTATATTTATTATTTTCTCTGTAAGAAATTTGGGGTAGTCATTAGGAAACTTGGGCTTCATCCTGTAGAAATAGAAAGGTAGTAAAAAAATAATTGTGAGTCTGAAGCTTTCTTTTTTCATGTTGGTTTAGCCACTGACTGTCTGTGTGTCCTAGGTCAGTTTCCTAATCTAAAAAAGTTATATATTTATATAGATTATAATTTTTTGGCCTTACCATGTGTGAGTTTCCATTCATTCTTCGATTTAATATACTCATTTCAAAGCCTCCCCACTGTTGAGCTGTCCTGAGTAGTGCTGAACATAAGCCCCAACACAGGGGTGTTTGCTTATGTTCAGAAATGGAAGCAATTAATAGCATTTATTTGAATATAACCAATTGATATTTGTAAAATAACTGTCATCAGA